TGTGAACTGGACTCCCCGATCCGATACTATATCTTCGGGAACCCCATGTAGCCTCACTACTTCCTTAATGAATATCCGTGCAGTCTCCGGCGCCGACGGTGTCCTTTCCAGGGGCACGAAATGAGCCATCTTTGAAAAGCGATCCACGATCACCATTATTGCAGTGTAGCCTTGAGATGGTGGGAGTTCGACCACAAAATCCATGGCAATCATTTGCCAGGCCCGTTTGGGTATCGGCAACAGACGCAATAATCCCCAGGCCTTGCTTCTGGAGGGCTTGTTCCTTTGGCAGGTGGGACAGGTCTGGACATAGCGCTCGCAGTCCTTGACCATGTTTGGCCACCAGAACGAGCGCTGCAGTAGCTCCTGAGTTTTCGTCACCCCAAAGTGCCCTGCCATTGGATGGTCATGGCAGTGCCCCAGGACCAAAGTTTGAACTCCTTCTGGCACCACGATCCGATTTTCCTTCCAAAGCAGACCATCGCGGTTCTGGAGGGGCGGCCCAGGCGGGACTGGCAGTCCAACGGAAGCGTCAATCAGTCTGGAGCGAAGTTCCGTTTGAAGGGCGAGGAAGCTTCTGGACGGTAAAATTGTGTCAGGTAACACTGTATCGTCGGGGTCCTCAAACATGCGGGACAGAGCGTCTGGTTTCGTATTCTTAGACCCAGGTCGGTACGTTATATGAAAGATAAACCGAGAGAAGAAAAGAGCCCATCTCGCCTGGCGTGGTCTCAGTCGTTTTGCCGTTCTTAAATACTCAAGGTTTTTATGATCCGTGAATATTAGGATTAGGTGTGTGGCTCCTTCCAGGAGATACCTCCATTCTTCTAGAGCGGACTTAATGGCCAGGAGTTACCGATCTCCAATATCATAATTGCGCTCCGCCGGTGTCAACTTCCTGGAGAAGAACGCCACAGGATGCAGTAGCTCCTTGGTACCATTCCTTTGGGAAAGAATCGCTCCTACTGCGTTTTCGGAGGCGTCCACTTCCAAAACGTATGGGAGAGAAGAATCCAGATGGCAGAGAATGGGAGCAGAGGTAAACAATTTCTTGAGCGTGTCGAATGCGGTCTGAGCTTCGGAAGTCCATTTAAAACGAATCCCTTGTTTAGTCAGTTGCGTGATTGGGGAGACCAGCCCTGAGAAGTTCCTGACAAACTTTCTATAAAAAGTTTGAGAATCCGATGAAACGCTGTACCCCCCTCTTATTGGTGGGTGTTGGCCAATCTAAGATCGCCGTGACTTTCTGGGGATCCATCGCGACCCCCGCGGGAGAGAGGACCAGTCCTAAGAACCTGATTTTACACTGTTCGAAACAGCATTTTTCTGCCTTGGCGTAGAGCCCGTGTTGGCGTAAACGTGCTAAGACCCTTGCCACATGATCCCTATGAGCCTCCAGTGAGGGTGAAAATATCAGGATGTCATCTAAGTAGACAACCACGAAGACATCGAAGAAATCACGAAAAACGTCATTGATAAAGTGTTGGAAGGTGGCCGGTGCGTTACAGAACCCGAACGGCATCACCAGATATTCGAAATGACCGAATCTCGTATGAAAGGCTGTCTTCCATTCATCCCCCTCCCTGATACGAACAAGGTTATATGCCCCCCGCAGGTCTAATTTAGTAAAAATCGTTGCTGACCCTAATCTCTGGAGGAGCTCAGGAACCAGAGGTAACAGATAGCGATTTTTTTACTGTGATCTTATTCAGATCACGATAGTCTATACAGCGCCGTAACGATTTGTCTTTTTTTTCTACAAAGAACAACCCGGCCCCGGCTGGGGACGTGGACGGGCGAATAAATCCCTTCCGAAGATTGCCATCAATATACTCCCTCAAAACTCCTGATTCTAATTCAGATAAAGGGAAAATGCGACCAAACGAAATCTCAGACCTGGGTAGGTCTATGGGGCAATCGTATGAACGGTGCGGGGGAAGAATGTCTGCTCCTCGCTTACTGAACACGTCTAGGAAATTATGGTAGGCTGGAGGGATAACCTGAGAAAGATCTGTATCACCATCCATGCACAGAAGAAACCGGGGGGCCACGGACCCTGGGACGTGGCAGTGACCCCGGCAGTATGGTGACCGAAATTGAACCGTTCCCTTCTCCCAATCAATCTGGGGGTTATGGGCCCGCAGCCAAGGAAGCCCCAGAATGATTGGGAAAAGGGGGGATGCGATGCGGAAAAGTAAGATCGATGAAACAACTACATGCTCCCGAATCAATGATAGCGGTCACCGACAAGGTTCCTCCGGGGAGCTGTAAAGACACAGGTATTGCCAGGTAACTAGATTGATCACCCCTTTCTGTAGGTAAAGGAAAACAACAGGAAGCGGACTTACTCATTTTTGCAGGACAGGAGCGCACCTGGTGACCAGCTTCCCCACAGTACAGACAGAGGTTCTGCGATCGTCTCCTCTGACGTTCCTCGGCCCGATAAAGTGGAACGGGCCAGTCCCACTTGCATGGGTTCCGAGGTGTCCCCTGCTTCCGTGCTCCGGGTATGGTTCTCTGGGGTTGGAGCTTCTTCTCTCAGTGGAATCCATGCCACCCTTTGACCCTGGCTGCTCCTTTCCAGGCGACGCTCTCTCAGTCTGCGGTCAATTTGGATGGCCAACTCTATCAGTTTCTCAAGAGAGTCAGGTAGGCCTACTCGTGCTAACTCATCTTTTAGTGACTCAGACAGCCCGATGCGGAACTGGTGACATAATGCCGCATCGTTCCATCTGGTATCTCCCATCCAACGCCTAAAATCGGACGCATACTCTTCGGCTGCCCGGCGGCCTTGCCGCAGAGAGTATAGGGTAGCCTCTGCGGAAGCAGCCCGCTGGGGGTCATCATATAGGACAGCCATGGCCTGAAAGAACTCAGTCACAGGATCAAGATGGGGGTCGCGCTTCTCCATCAGACGGTGAGCCCAATCCTGGGGCTTATCCTGAAGGAGAGAGATTATAAACCCCACCTTGACGGTCTCGGCGGTGAACGTGCGGGGCTGCAAGTCAAAAAATAGAGTGCATGCGTTCCGGAAGGCCTGAAGCGGCTTTGGTCTCCACGGAATCGTTCCGGCAGGGGAACGCGGGGTTCGGGAGCTAGGGGTGCGGCAACTGCTCCGGATGCTGGGGTAGCGGGTGATTCCGCAGTTGCGGGACTTGGAGCAGGAGGAGTCTGGGTGGCTAACGTCTCCATGCGGTCCTCAAGACGGGTGCAGCGGCTGTGAAAGTTCTGGACGGCCTGGGTCAGAGTCGCCAGGTGCTGGCATATATCCTCTAGGGACGCCGGTCCTCTTCCTGGCTCTGTCATGGCAGCAAGGTACTGTTATGATCCGCCAGGTGGTGCCTCTGGCCGCCCACTTGACAGACCTACCCAAAGCGTGGAATCTAAGTCCCGGTCTGTGCTTTCACCAGGGCCCCTGAAGGTGGGGATGGACTTGAAACAGACCAGGACCAGGTCACGACCTCTGAGCAGGCCCACCAGTGGCAGAGGGAACCTCCGGGGATGTATAGGTACCGGGAGAGCCAGATGTGAGGAGGCCGGCAGGACCTAGCAGGATGGATCACGAGCAGTGGTCCCGTGGGGTAGGCGAGGTACAGAATCGGCAGGCGGAGAATCGGCAGGTCACACGCAGGGTCAGCAGGATAAGTCAGTCCGCAGATAGGTCAAACAAGCCGGGAGTCAGGAGGGGAGAAGGCAGAGTAGTCAGGACAATCCGGGTCAAACACAGGAGAAGGCAGCGTAGTCAGGACAATCCGGGTCAAACACAGGAGAAGGCAGCGTAGTCAGGACAATCCGGGTCAAACACAGGAGAAGGCAGCGTAGTCAGGGTCACTCAGGGTCAATAACTCAGGTACAGGAACTCAGGAACACAGATAGACCTTGCGGCGATTAGTGACAGTGCAGGGCATCTTTAAATATTGCGCCCTGCACTGTCATTGGCCGTCCAGGACGCGCCCCCGGGCTGTCATTGGCCGCCCGAGGCGCGCCCGCGGCTCCTACTGCGCATGCGCGGCGTCCTGTCATCTGCGGCTCGCTGGGACCTGGTGCTTGTGTCCCGGCGTGAGCCGTCGCCAGTGTGCATGCGCCGGCCGACAGGATGCCGTGATCCCTGACATATAGTGTGATGGGTGCTGCCCATCTGACAAACGTATTGGGCCGCCGGCCTTTCCACACACATGACCTTTAATGGCCTCCCAGTCTTAGTCCATAGGGTTCAATATTGAGTTGGCCCCGCCCTTTCCATGCACATGACCTTTAATGGCCCCCCAGTCTTAGTCCGTAGGGTTCAATATTCAGTTGGCCCCGCCCTTTCCACACACATGACCTTTAATGGCCCCCCCAGTCTTAGTCCATAGGGTTCAATATTGAGTTGGCCCCCCCGCCCTTTGCAGCTATAACAGCTTCAACTCTTCTGGGAAGGCCGTCCACAAGGTTTAGGAGGGTGTCTATGGGAAGGTTGGACCATTCTTCCAGAAGTACATTTCTCAGGTCAGGCAGTGATGTCGGGGGAGGAGGCCTGGCTCGCAGTCTCCGCTCTAATTCATCCCAAAGGTGTTCTATGGGGTTGAGGTCAGGACTCTGCGCAGGCCAGTCAAGTTCCTCCACCCCAAACTGGCTCCTCCATGTCTTTATGGACCTTGCTTTGTGCACTGGTGCGCAGTCATGTTGGAACAGGAAGGGGCCATCCCCAAACTCTTCCCACAAAGATGGGAGCATGAAATTGTCCAAAATGTCACCTTAAGAGTTCCCTTCCCTGCAACTAGGGGGCCAAGCCCAACCCCTAAAAAACAACCCCACACCATAATCCCTCCTCCACCAAACTCCACCGTTCTCCTGGCCAAATCCAGACATGTCCATCTCATTGCCAGACAGAGAAGTGTGATTGGTCACTCCAGAGAACACGTCTCCCCTGTTCGGGTCCAGTGGCGGCGTGCTTTACACCACGGCATCCAACGCTTTGCATTGCACTTGGTGATGGAAGACTTGGATGCAGCTACTCGGCCATGGAAACCCATTCCATGGAGCTCTCTACGCACTGTTGTTGGGCTCATCTGAAGGCCACACCAAGTTTGGAGGTCTTTAGCTATTGACTCTGCAGACAGTTGGTGACTTCTGCGCACTGTGCGCTTCAGCATGTGCTGACCCCGCTCTGTCATGTGACGTGGCCTACCACTTGGTGGCTGAGTGGCTGTTGTTCCCAGTGGCTTCCACTTTGTTATAATCCCACTAACAGTTGAGCGTGGAATATTTAGTAGCCAGGAAATGTCACGGATGGACTTATTGCCCAGGTGGCCACCTATCACGGGACCACGCTTGGAGTCAATGAGCTCCTGAGAACGACCCATTCTTTCACCAATGTTTGTAGAAGCCGTCTGCATGCCTAGGGGCTTGATTGTATACACCTGTGTCCATGGAGAGGATTGGAACACCTGAATCACATGATATGGAGGGGATTGGAACACCTGAGTCACATGATTTGGAGGGCGAGCCCAATACTTCCAGCAATATAGTGTATATAGATATCTCCACAGCTTATCCTGGTAATTCTTGTCCCTACAGGAAACGTAATCCTGTGGAATATATCACCCTATATTTCCATGTCATGGTTTCCAAAAAATTTAAGCTTAAAACCCATGAGGATGATGTGATAGTAAGAGGCTGCGGTATTGAAGGCTATTGGGACTGGAGAGATGCCGTCTGCACTATGAACTGCACAAAGTAAGTCACATACTTTATTTTCTCATGTACAGCGTTCCGGGGCTTTAGCTACTGAGTTCTGTAAGTAACAGTAAGAGCTGAAGAGAGTTAGGAATAATAAAATGGAGCCAAAATCTCCACCTGCTGACTGCTTAGCTATTAGCCAATTATTATATAGAATATTTACCTTTTTTATTCTATTTAATATCTAATAATTCTCAATGTATGCAAAACCCCAATACATTGCCTTCCACCTACAACATCCAACAATCACAACTATTCCATCCTCGGTTTTGGATCGTGGGGAAGGGTTAGAACCTGTGCAAGGTTTTTTTGCTCACTGCCTGTCCTAGTGATGGAAAATGTTTTAGAACCTTTTTAGCATATTTCACATCCATTCTCTGTGCATGTTATGTTATTTTTGAAGATTAAGTGTAGCCCCCCCCCCCCCCCCCAAAAAAAAACTACATGCAGTCAATATGATGTGTCCTTTGTGTTGCTGACTTGGGGATCATTTGAACTATTTCTCCCCTAGTCCAACCCCCCCCTTACACACACACCTCTGCTAACAATCTTCCATTGCTGCATGGTTAAAGGATAGGTTCACCTTTCACGACATGTTACACCCATTTTCAGGGATATTCAGGGTGTAATATGTTATGAAAGCACCCGGCCCCCACTCCTCGCCATTCCCCCGCTTTGACAGCTAGTGGGGGATCTTATCATTCACAGAGTACTCCGATCCATTATGCTCAATCCGCAGATCCGATCCATCCTGCGGGGGATCGTTGGCTTGCTTTAAAACTTTCCTTTTTGTGGAGCTCGTGGAAAGGGTCCGGTGTCACCCAGTGCGATAGGTGTCACCCAATGCGGTGCGCACCCCCCACACCTGCCGAGAGACGCCACTGGACCCATACCTGAAAACACCTACAGCCATATACGGTGACTTCTATCAGACTGAAACCAGCTAGGAAATAGAACGTTGCCTATTAGGGACCTCTGCCTGGCTACAAACCAAACCCCTGAGGACGGTGTCCTCCTGAGCTCTGCATCACCCTGTAGTACAGGGAAACCCCCGCTTATAGTCCATTTAATCTCATTAAACGTCATACTATAAAAAGGTCACAAAAGACACCAGCTGAGAATCCCCATTATGGTGTCCTCCATTACTCCTAGAAACAATCATTAAGAAGATCATCTCCAGGGGTGTCCTTCGCCAACTAACACCCCTTTCTATAATGGACAGTCAGCCCTGTTCTAGGAATCTTTTTCCCTGATCTCTGTTGCTTCGGGCTGAAAACCTCCTAGTAATGGACAGTTGTGCTCCAATGAATTGGCCTTTTATGGCTTTCTTAACCTGGGCTGGATAGCAGCTATTCACTTTAAAGGATCGCCTTCTGAATATATTACACGTGTATTTAGTGTGAAATATGTACCATGTTCAGTGACCTCCCCCCACCCCCCAATTCCCACTTCTCCATGGCTAAATGGTTAACACTTCTGCCTGGCAGTACTAGGGTCAATGGTTCAAATCCTAACCACAGCACCTCCTGCCTGGAGTTTGCATGTTCTCCCTGTGCCTGCGTGGGTTTCCTCCGGGTACTCCGGTTTCCTCCCACACTCCAAAGACATGCTGGAAGGTTAAATGGCTCCTGTCTAAATTGTCCCTAGTATGTGTATGTATGAATGTGAGTTAGGGGCCTTAAACTGTAGGTTCCTCGGGGGCGGGGACTGATGTGAATGTACTATATATGTAAAGTGCTGTGTAAACTGACGGTACTATATAAGTACATGAAATAAATATGGGGGGGGGTGTGATCTTGTCTCTGCATTCGCTGTCCAATTTAAAAAGATTGGCACAGCTGTGTGGAACTCCACCCACACAGCCATGTCATTTGTTCACAGGAATCTGTAAATGAGAAAACAACAAGTCCCATCTTCCAGGCAGCTTGTAGTTCTCAAAGAACAGTGAGGTCGCTGATGAGCAGCCTCCAGCTTGCAAGGTGCCAGCCTGTACAGAGGCTGAAAGGGGAGAGAGAGTGTTCAGGAGTCTGAAACTGCACCCGAGATCTGCTGATCACAATACCTTGCAGTCTCCTGTTTGACCACTTGCCTATCGGGTAATTTCACCCCCTTCCTGCCCAGGCCAGCTTTCAGCGCTGTCGCACTTTGAATGACAATTGCGTGGTGATGCTACACTGTACACATATGAAATTATTATACTTTTTTCACACAAATAGAGTGTGACGGAGTGACTTTGGGTGGGGGGGCCCATGGAACACAGCCCCATTTGGAGAGGTGGGGAGACCCCTGTTCCTGCTCCCCGTATCCCTCTTATGTGTAAGTCACCCTGTGCCTCTTAGGGGTACAAGGTGGAATGTCCTGATATTGAATAGACCTGTATAGGTGGGGGTTGTTCATTGTTTACTGCCATGTGGTCCCATTGTTCTATTGTGTCTTGCTTGGGAGCAAACTATTATGGGATGTATGTGTTTTTGTGTATTGGCTTGGTGGGGGGTGTCAGCTGTGTGTCTCTTGTTACTAGTTTTGGTGTGCCCTGCCCTGTGTCATTATGCAGGGAGGGGGGGGGGGTTGTTCCCTTGAATGTATATATCTTGTCTCTGTGTTAAAATAAAGCAGTCCACTTTCTGTTTTAAGACGAGTTGCTGTCTCGTCCTGTATGGTCAGCGGTGGTGTCCGTGGATCTGTGTTCGGACAGGAGTCTAACGGACATACCCTAGTGCAGTCGGGGTCTCGTTCCGTTACATAGAGCGTTCTGTTGGTGGTATTTAATCACCACTGGGTTTTTTTTTTTTAATATTTTTTTTTTTTTTGCACTATAAACTGCAAAAGAGCAAAAAATGTGAAGAAAAAAAAGTTACACACCTCCAGGATTTCAAAGTGGTCATTGGATTTCAGGCTCCTGTATGTGGCTAGGCTCCCAAAAAAGTCTCTCACACGTGGTACCCCCATACTCGGGAGAAGTAGCAGAATGTATTTTGGGGAGTAAATCCACATATACCCATGGCATGTGTGAGCAGTAAATCATTTAAGTTACAACTTTGTGTAAAAAAAAAAAAAAAAAAATTCTTCATGGTTGCGGTACAATACTTGTGCTCGCCATCGCACCAGCTTGTACTACACTTATGGGACTCGCCACATCACCAAGTCTACTGTGCAGTGCTGGTATTTGAAATACCAGGATGTACTAGACCGCTGTTGCTCACCAGTTCACTAAAAGTTAGTATGGCACTAGTACTGGCACTCTGCTGCATATGAGAGTCATCATGCGTTTGTACCACCTCAGCAACCTGGAAATGGGGTCGGGTACGCCTGACCTTAGCAGGGACCTCTTCTCCATCATCTGAGCTACCTGTCAGGGTGCCTCTGCTGTCTACAAGTTCACATTCTGATCTGGATTCTGTCATTGAGTCTTCCCGTTTGCTCTCACTTGACATGCTCAGAATCCTGTAGGCCTCTTCAATAGAGTACCTTTTGTTGGACATTTTGGCCACTAAATTTATAGGTACCTAGTGCGACTGGCTTTCAGGGACTGCTTGAACCGCTACAAAAAATTTACTGGCAAATGCTAGCAGAGATCAGGCCTGATTCTGCCAACACTGCGGTTTTGTGTACAATGTGATCTACTGACACTGCACTTGCTGGGGGGAGAGGGGGGGGTTAAGCGTAGGGGCTAAACACAGGTGCTGAAAAGTTCCGGGGCTGATCCCACTAACGCTGCACTTTTGGGGACAATCAAGGGCTAAATGCGAGGAGTGGCGTAGTGATGGGCAATCTGACGCTATTTGGGAGGGGCGAGAAAACCACGGGAGTGTAAATCACGTGTGTGTAATGTGTGTGTTTGTATGTGTGTATGTGTGTGTGTGTGTGTGTGTGTGTGTATATAATATTGCACATCTGTGCCGCCCTGTAGCAGTATTTCTACTATAGGGCAGTCAGAAAGCGGTTAAACATGTCCATTAAAAAAAAAAATAATTTAAAGTCACATTTTGTCATAAATTTCAGCCAAAATGTATTCCGCTCCGTGTCTTTGCTAAAAAAAAAATCCCAATACGTGGAAATTAATTGGTTTATGTGAAAGTTATAGCGTCTACAAATGGCGGGATAGATAATGGGATTTTTTTTTTTTTACTAGTAATGGTGGCAATCAGCGACTTATGGCGGGACTGCGGCGGACATTCTGACACTGGGGGGAACTGACTTGGTGTCACTGACATCCCCAGTGACACCAATACAGTAATCAGTGCTAAAAAAGAAAAGCACTGACACTGTAAACTAATGGAAATGGGAGGAAAGGGGTTAACATGAGGGACGATCAAAGGGTTAATTGTGTGCTGGGAGTGTTTTACTAGGAGGCAGTGTCTGTGTGCTTCACTGTAATCACACTGCTCTGGATGGCTGTGCTGTGCATTGTGCCTGAGCTGATAGGGAGGAGGACTGTTTGTAAACAAAGCAGCCCTCCTCCCCATCTTTGATTGTCGGTATTCACCGGGCGTCGGTGGGCAATCACAGGCTGGGACCCAGTGAGTGACAGCTGTGGCTGTTAATGGTGGCACGGTTAGGGTGCTCACGTGCACCCCTACCCGGAATTGCTAAATCACGTATATATACCTGCTATAGCTTTCAGATTCTGATAAGCTCCCCGCCCACAGATCAGCCCCCCCCCCCTCAGCAACCACCGGCCCAACATGGGGACAAGGTGCTTTGGGGGGGCCCTCCTTGCCCCAAAGCACCCCCCCAGGTTGAGGGTATGTGTCCTGGCACAGTTCAGGAGGGGGCGCTCACTTGTCCCCCTTTCCTGACCTGCCGGGCTGCATGCTCGGGTAAGAGTCTGGTAAGGATTTTTTTAAAAATTTTTGGCTTGGGGTT